GAGAAATAAATGATTTCTGCGTGGATTAAAAAAAATCTAATGCCTAAATATTTCGCTATCGATATTTCAAATTCTAAAATTATTATCCGTATCATCTTGATGGCTGGACCCACAAAAATGGGTGCCTAAAGGCTCGATGGCTGCGTCCCGTAGGCTAGATTTCCCCCCTATCCTACAAATAAAAACTAAATTAATTTATGTATGGTTTCCACCAATAAGTACTGTGATTTCTGAGAAAGGTATAATGTTATTGTGAAATTTAATGATTAATATTGAAGAGGTCGCAAATCTTGTCAAAATACAGGATTTCCACGCGGAATTTGCGAGCGGAAGCTTCAATAAATTATAAAATCTGTATTTTTAAAGCAAAGATACAGTGTAAACTCTTTTTAACCCATTTAAAGGGACCGAGCATTTGTACACGTTATAGGGAAGGAAGAATTAATGTATGGGTATGTATTGGGTTTAACCCAATAAATTAAACTGATTTTTACGTTATAGAAAGGTTTCATTATAGGGAAGGAAGAATCAATGGATGATAATTGGGTTTAATCCAATAAATTTAACTGATTGTTACGTTATAGAGAGGTTTCGTTAAGTTAAGTTTACACTGTATTTTAATCTTGTAACCATAGTCAATAAGCCTTTACAATAATTCAAAATCAAAATGAACCTGAAATATGCGCACGCGTCGTGACCGGTCGTGAACCTTGACTCTGACAGATTTAATAATGTATAAGTGAATGGATATTATATTTGAATAAATACCTTTCATTATAAATTAAATAAGAGAGATTTAATCGATTTCCATTCCCTGTCAAATGAAAAGGAAGATATGCTTCTTCTTCAGTCACACTATTCATTTCTGAAGGTCGAGTTAGTGGCGCCGCACTCTACCCCGTCTTCGGCAAGCCTGGACTCCCGGAGCCCATCCCCCCCCATATGAAATATGAAGGTGCAGAACAAACAGAATCTACCCCAGCTCGCGGTGGAGAATCCCCCTCTGGGCGTCCAACACCGGGACACTCAGCACCCGGTGGTGGACGCACAGGCTGCCCTTCGTATTCTGGGGGGGGCAATTCTGCGCTCAACAAAAACAGTCATCGTTCTCGGGGCAAACGGAGCAATTCAACAAATGCACCCCCGTCCACGCTCGCCGTGGACTGCACAAATGTTAGGGGGCTCAATTCCAATATCAACGCAGTCCACTACCATTTAGAGACTGCGAAGCCGGCCGGCTTTCTTACCGAGACTCAGATTTCCTCCCCGGCTGATACTTCCTACCTCTCCTACCCGGGGTACAAATTGGAACATTCATTTGTGCCGCGGGCGGGAGTTTGCGTGTACGTCAGAGAGGATATCTGTTCTCGTCGCCTCGGGACGCTTGAAGGAAGGGACCTATCTAACCTCTGGCTGCGCGTAGAATGCGATGACCATCCGCGATTCTACGCATGCCTGTATAGGTCCCATAGCGGAAATACCGAAACTGACCGACTCATTGAGCACATCCAAATGGCTACAGATTCCCGGCTCGAAAGGGTTCCTACCGCTGAAATCGTGATACTTGGCGATTTTAACGCCCACCATGCCGATTGGCTCGGCTCTGAAACCACCGATCACGCGGGAAGAACCTTTCACGACTTTGCTTTAGCCTACGACCTGACACAAATGGTCCCTGCGATTACGCGAATACCAGATGTGGATGGTCATAAACCCTCTTTGTTGGACCTTCTGCTGACTTCACATCCGGAGAACTATCAAGTCTCTGTTGACCCGCCATTGGGTTCATCGGATCATTGTGTGGTCCGGAGTACTGTGCCATCTACGCGCCCTTCACGGCCCCGCTTTATGGGTTGTCGCCGTATTTGGCACTATAAGTCAGCAGATTGGGACGGGATGCGGTCTTTCTTTGCGTCCTACCCTTGGGGGCCTATGTGCTTTTCGCCGGAAGCTCCAGATTCCGTCGCTGCCTCTGTCGCCGAAGTGGTTCTGCAGGGCATGGAACTCTTTATTCCATTTTCTGCGGTGCCGATCGGTGGCAAGTCTCAGCCCTGGTTTAAACGTTCTTGCAAGGCGGCCTCGCGTCGAAAGCGAGAATGCTTTAAGGCATGGGCGGAAGCGGCGAAATCTCGTGATGCCAATACCAGCGAACTTAAAACAGTATATAACTCAGCCTCCAGGTTCTTCATACGGGAAATCACTAAGGCAAAGTCAGAGCACATTGCCAGATTTGGCGAGAGATTGGCCCAGCTCCCTTCAGGGACTCGAGCCTTCTGGTCTCTCGCCAAAGCTGTCCAAGGGAATTTTTGTCAGCCCGCCATTCCGCCACTGCACAGGGAGGATGACTCTCTGGCTCACACTGCGAAGGAGAAGGCCGACCTTTTGGGCTGTCTCTTCGCGTACAACTCGACTTTGGATGACCAAGGAAGATCACCACCGACCATTTCGCGGTGTGATTCTTCGATGCCGGAAATCACATTCCGGCAACGTGCTGACCGCAAAGCACTATCTTCCTTGGACATTCATAAGTCGAGCGGGCCGGATGGTATCCCCCCCAATTGTGCTGCGTACTTGTGCTCCTGAGTTGGCTCCGGTCTTAACGCGCCTTTTCCGGTACCTGTACTCGCTCGGCACTGTCCTGAAGTGCTGGAAGACCGCTTCAATACATCCGATCCCTAAAAAAGGCGATCGCTCTGATCCGTCCAACTATCGCCCAATAGCTATAACCTCCTTGTTCTCGAAAATAATGGAAACCATTATTAATTGCCAGCTCTTGTGGTATCTAGATAGCCACCAGTTGATTAGCGATTCTCAGTACGGCTTTCGTCGTGGTCGCTCAGCTGGTGACCTCCTTGTATACCTTACCCATAGGTGGGCAGAGGCAATTGAGTCCAAGGGGAGGCGCTGGCGGTAAGTTTGGACATAGCGAAAGCCTTCGATCGGGTGTGGCACAGAGCATTGCTCTCGAAGCTTCCAGCCTATGGGCTTCCCGAGAAATTATGCGATTGGATCTCCAGCTTTCTGGCCGATCGGAGCATCAAGGTCGTCATCGACGGAGCATGTTCCGACCTTAAACCTGTGAACGCTGGGGTCCCACAAGGCTGTGTTCTATCCCCGACCCTATTTCTTTTGCATATCAATGATATGTTGCAACTTAGCAACATTCATTGCTATGCGGATGACAGCACTGGGGATACTTTTTACACTGGCCGGGCAGGTATTTCTCGGGCAGTTGTTGATGAGTACCGGAACAAACTTGTGTCTGAAGTCGAAACTCTACTACGTGGAGTCTCAGACTGGGGCAGACAAAACCTAGTCCAATTTAACCCCAAGAAGACACAAGTTTGCGCGTTTTCCGCTAAAAAAACACCCTTTGTCGCTACTCCTCTTTTCGAAAACACTCTTCTTAAAGCCACAGCCAGCATTGGAATACTTGGCGTTGACATATCGAACGACGTTCAGTTTCGCGGTCACTTGGAGGGAAAGGCTAAATTAGCCTCCAAAAAGCTTGGTGTGCTCAGCAAGGCGAGGCGGTACTTCACTCCGGGCCACCGCATGCAACTATATAAAGCGCAAATTCGGCCCCACATGGAGTACTGCTCTCACTTCTGGGCGGGGGCTCCCCAGTACCAGCTCCTTCCACTTGACCGTATACAACGCAGAGCGGTTCGAATCGTCGACGACCAATCCCTCTCCGAGCGGCTTGATCCTTTGGCGTTGCGTAGAGATGTGGGGTCACTCTGCATCTTCTACCGCATTTACCATGGAGAGTGTTCAGAGGAGTTGTTCGGATTAATACCTGCAGCTGAGTTTCATCATCGGACGTCGAGACAGAATACGAAATTCCACCCTAATCACCTCGACGTCCGCCGTTCCACAACTGAGCGTTTTTCAAGGCAGTTTTTGCCGCGCACCACCACTATGTGGAATCAGCTGCCCACTGAAGTATTTCCGAACCAATTCGACTTAGGGTCCTTCAAGAAAAGAGCGTACCAATTCTTAAAAGGCCGGCAACGTACTCGCGAGTCCTCTGGCATTGAGAGTGTCCATGGGCGGCGGTGTCACTTAACATCAGGTGAGCCTCCTGCCCGTTTGCCCCCCCGTTCTATAAAAAAAAAATAAAAAAATAAAAAATCTCTGCGTGTTACATCTAAAAAAACTCATCAAACTCAACTCAGAATGTCTTGTTGACAAAGTGTCGAAAGACGATTTTTTACCTGTGACTGTCTTAGTATGGACACGTTTGTTTTCTTGGCTGTCCAGGGAATCCGAAGCATCCGCCTCCAACCATCTATTTTTCTTTTTTTTATAAAAAATATGCTTAATTTTATTTAAATACTCGCGTGAACCAATGCTTTATATAAACGAAATTTTAAACACATGACATCACCGATATATTTATTATTGATTCGGACGTGGACGGAAACGGCTATTTTCAGCTGATAACGTTTTTGGCATATTTACAAATAATATGAATAATGGTTTGCATTCATTATTTGATGTGATTTATTTATAGGTTGCCAAATTTGAATCAGATAATGCGAAATCCACAGATGCAATAAAAACATATTTTCTCTCAACCTTAGCTCTTAGTTCTTAACGCAAAAAGAGGTTTGACTCACAAAACTTGGGTTCCCAGCGAACAGTACGGAACGAAACTAGTCACGGTAGAGGTCGGAGTTGTATTTCAACCTCGTCTTGGTTGGCCAAGTGGCTTCTTATCCCAGACGTTGTAGATTCGATGCCCGGCTGTGCACCAGTGGACTTTCTTTCTATGTGCGCATTTAACATTCGCTCTAACGGTGAAGGAAAACGTCGTGATGAAACCGGCTTTATTAGACCCAAAAAGTCGACGGCGTGTGTTAGGACAATTACTTACTTACCTATTCAATTGACAAATCATTAAACAGTTTCAGATATCTGAGGCACAGACCTTAAAAGCTTGTGACGCCATTGATTTTTTCGATGATGTTGATTAAATGATGAATTTATTTTTCCAGCCTTCCACATGCAGAACAGAATTCGAGAAGCATCTAAAGAAGATAGAATATGACGCGCACCGCGCTGCTACGTTTAGCGCCGAAAATCATCACAAATTTTTCTTGGGGCATATGATCGTCTTTCGGATGCATTTGAATAAGGTATTACCTTACGGAGTAAAACTCAAATTCAAATTAATTTTGATCACATAGGTAACCAAGAACACTTATGAACATCAACAGAAAAGATGTTAAATTGATTCTAAATTTGCATTAACTACCAGTTCGCAAGTCACGGGCGTAGAGCGGGCAAAAGAACTGGCAAGAAACTCTCCGCCACTCTATTTAATCGCCAAGTTTTGAGTCTTACAAATTGTTTGAATTGGAGCAAATCAATCCCAAGGATTAGATCATTCAAATAATCGTCAAATTTATGAAAAGCTTTATTGATTAATTTACGTTTATATCTTGTGATAAAGAACTCCTTCCTTGTTCTTTAATAGTAACTGAGAAATTAGTTGCTTTATTATAATTTATAAATCATGCATAGGGCGGAACAGAATATTACAGAAGTAAAAGACGAAAAATAATTATGATGCTATGTAGGCATTTATATGATCTATTTAAATATTATTGAATAAGTTTCTTGTAAAATGCTAGCAATGCAACTTTGATAAACTCATGAAAATCACTGTAATTATTTTTTTTCCAGAGTGAAGAATACATACGAAAATGCGATACGATTATAAAAACCTGTGGTACTCCTTGTGAAGTAAGTAATTATGTATTTTATTGTGTATATTCACATTACTATTTCAACCGTAAATGTCTAAATCCTTTATATACCTACCTACGAGTATTTAGATGTACCTACCTAACTATGCCGTCTTATTTTTGTTTGTAATCTGTTTATTTTGCATTTATGTGTATATTTCCTATGCATTAAAGATATATCTAATATATAAAATTCTCGTGTCGTGGTGTTTGTAGTTAAACTCCTCCGAAACGGCTTGACTGAATCTCATGAAATTTTGTGTGCATATTGGGTATGTCTGAGAATCGGAGAACATCTATTTTTCATCTCCCTAAATGTTAAGGGTAGTCCACCCCTAATTTTTGTTTTTAATTTTTAGATAAATTTTTATTTTTTATTTTTTTTATGATACAACATTAAAAAATACATACAACCCCTAATTTTCACCCCTCTACGATCAACCCCTATTTTTTATTATAAATGATATACATGGCAAAACGACGTTTGCCGGATCAGCTAGTATTAGATAAAGAGTATATTATTAGGTAAGATATTAATATAAATTGTGCTCTAGCGAAAAAAAACGGTTACAAATACAGCTTACACAGCATAGCTTTTCTATTCAGTAAACTTTGATGCGATCTTGTTATATTATGGTTTCATTGAAGTTCGAGGTGTTCTGAGAAATTGCATCACTGTCTTTGCTCACGCCAAGACAGTGTGTCTGTCAATGTGATTGAATCCACGTCATCAAAGGTCGCCGTTCTGTTTAAATATAATCGAAACGTAAATAAAGACTTAACATATATTAGTGCACGGGTAGACAAAAAACTTTGCTGATTTACAACTTTTCGACCATTTATTATTTTAGATAGTTTATACATTATTTTACACATTATCCTTATCGCCGAGTAATGTAGGTATTACTCGGCGATAAGGAAGCATTGTAAAATATTTTTTTTAATTTGTCCAGTAGTTTTTATTAGTTATAATTTATAAACATACAAAAATATAAATGTTTTGTCTATTCCATATAAGTTTTTTCTTGGTGTAAATGAAAAGTATTGATTCTTATACTTTTATAAGAAAGTAATTATCTTTATTAAACGTTAAGTTTAATTATTAGTTATATTTAATATTTCAACCACGTAATACCAATCATATTAAAGATGTCAAAACTATGTCTAAAATTATGTTTAATTCATTGTTTTGTATTTACAATATTGTTAACCTACATAGTAGAATAATAATTAAAATATATAATTATTTATAATTGAAAATTAATAAATAGAAAATTAAAACGAGTTTTAAAAGTTTGGTATTGAGATACTTATTCGTTGAGCGAGGAAAGCAGCTCTGGGGTCACAGATAATAACTACCAGCCGCCAGCTTAAATTTAGATGACAGAAACGCTGGAAGCTACACTTGTTATCTTGCGTACCTACTCCTAATCCGCCAAAGCGAACAGGGAGCGGTACTTGATTCCAAGATGTTTCAAACAAAGTTTTAAAATAGATTCCAAAGAAGTTTTTAAACGATTATCCAAATCACCTAATAAAAGTGAATGATTCCATTGAGGGCTACAGCGAAGGACATAAATTAAAGTTAGGAGTAAGACAGCATTAAAAAAACAGATTTCCCAAATTGCCTTTTGTTGTTCGTCGTCGTTACTGTTAGGAAGCCCCAAAAGTAAAACTAATTATTGTGTAATTGACTTAATAGAGTTGCGGTGCTAAAGTATTTATTTGAGGTTTTATTGTTTGTTAATAGACAACACCTCGTATGGTTCGGTGGAGGCGGCTTGCGTTAGCTGAGATCAACAGGGTAAGAGATGACATACAACATTCACGACAATCTTACAAGGTAAGTTACAATGGTCGTTAATATTGAACTTTTAAATAATTATTTTTAGAGTTAATTTGAAGCAGAGTAGGCCTAGTGGCTTCAGCGTGCAATTCTCATACCTGAGGTCGTATGGACCACCAATGACTTTCTTACTTTCTGCGCATTTAACATTTGCTCGAACGGTAAAAGGAAAACATCGTGAGGAAACCGGTTTGACTTAGGTCTTAGACCCAAAATGTCGACGGCGTGTGTCAGGCACAGGACTTGTCTTTTCATTGACAAACGATCATGAAACATATACAGAAATCAGACTTAAAAAACGTTCTAGTGCCACTGATTTATTTATTTTATTAACTTTTTTCTTTAGAACAAATCTTTCTTTTTTAAATTTATCAAAAAATATATGCATTCATGAATGCAAAGTATATGTGGGAAGTAATACGCTTCAATCAAGATTAACACCATAAAATCTTTGAGATTAGAAACACCAAATGTAAGTAATAATTGATTTTGTAGTAAAACATATTTTTTCAGGATCTTCTGCTCCATGTACACCGAAAGCTCAACCACTTCCGGCGGCGCGCCACCTCGCGGTCAAAAGAGGCCATCGCGAGCTTAGAAGCTTGTACTAGGCACAGATTATGAATTTAGACGATCAGTTAATACATATTTTGACATGCTAAATTATATTTTATGTAGTACAATTATTCTCATGTTATGAATTAATGTTTGTAACAAATTAACAATGCAAATGGTAACCTAAATTAGTATATATCTAATTAATAAGAAAATTTACGAACATAAACTAATCACAGATTTATTTGCGTGAAAGTGAATCTTTGCTAAGATCTTAATATGAGAAAATAATGGTCGCCTACGAAATCAAAACCTATAAATCGATTGTTATCTTTATACCGTTAGTTGCCTGCCTTTCAGTCTTTTATAGATTGCACTCCAGATATTGCTCCATGGAACTTCACAATCTGATTCCGACATCCCCTTTCAAACAACGCTCATCTAGAAGCACGCTGGAGTTTCACCCCTTCGTAGTCGACGTCCCCAGGTGCCGCACTGCACGATATAGTTCATAGTTTCTTTAAAAAAATCGGTTTCCTGTAAAGTCGGTTTACTGACGATAGTTGAACGTGACAACGTCATAAGAAAATTCTGATGGAATGGTTGCATTTTTCAAAAGAACATTTTAATTTTATTTGTTTGCTAGATATTGATGGATATAGAGAAGGAGGTAAATGGAAATCACAATTGAATTGTTCAAGTTACATTTATTTGTACGCATAAACGTACGCCGCCGAACGCTCAACGCGCCGATTGTGCCTCTTTGTCGCTCGTTCCGCGTTCTCGCTTGCACTCCGCATGCGTCATGTTTTTTCGTGCGTTCAGCCGGCTCCATCGAATTATAAGACGTTGTCACGCTAAAAAACAGAAAAGGAGTGCCCCCTTCCATTTTTCCTGGACAAGTATAATAGGGGTTAAGCGTTTAAGCGGCGCGATAGGCATCTCCTGGACAGGCGTGCCCTCCAATAGGCCACATCTCTGTTAACATCAGGCGGGATTGTGGCAAATCTGTCCAGTTCTGTGTAAAAATATATTTATATAATTGTTGTAAAAAGTTCCTAATTGGTATTAAAATTTAGAATGTAAATGAAATGAATTATTCGAATTTGAACGACGTTGATAATCGAACGAGTAATGTTATTCTAATATTAAGTTTTTAATTGTGTATAAAATGTTAATTAAATAGAAAAGGTCACGAGATTTTAGAATTGTTCAGTATGAGGCTTATAAAGATTAAGACAGATTAAAACCAGTACTCCATATTGTTGTTACATAAATTCAAAAGTCGTATTTAAGGGTTTACATATACAGGTGTATGTAATAATTAGCTGTTGAAAAATATATATGTGCCATACTCGTTAATATGTAGATAATTATTTTAGTTCTTGGTTTCTTATGTCTATAAATTATGAAATTTATGTTTGTAAGCTTTTTGTTTTGTTGATTTGCTATGCAAAACTTTCGTCCTAACATTGCAACAATTTTTTTTCTTGCTAAACGGTATCGCTAGCTTTCTAGCTTAAGCTAAGCTTAATCTTAATGGAAGTTGTATTACAAACCAAGTTTATTTTAATCGAGTCACAGCCATTTCCCTAAGTTTTTGTTTTCTGTTAGATGAACGTGTTGATCTCGAATTATAAAGTATGAAATATTGAATTGGTTTGTTAAAGGTATCAATCATACTTTGATCCTAGCTCATTGATTGTAATGTCATAACGTTTCTCAGTAATATAAACATTATCTGTCAGCTCTTCTATATTAGATAAAAATGCATGTATTTACTTTGAACTTCGCAAAATGTACACCTAAAGCACAAATGTTGGGTAATTTTCTATGTTTTAAGATTGAGTATGAATAGAATTTTGAGAGAATACCAAATCTGACGTTTTAAAGTTAACCCCGCTACATCTGTGCTGCCATCTAGGGCGTTGTAACACGTCCAACAGGACGAAATAGTTATGTAAAATTGTACTTAGTCTCACTGTGATAGTCGTAATTTAATAAATTAAAGTAATACATTGTAATAACAAAGTGTTATGTCGAAAGTACAAGTATTTTAGATGATAACAATTTTTTGTTGTTAATATTATTAATTACTAGATTATTTTTATAATAAAGTCTTAACAAATGATTCTTTCATAGTTTGCTATACGTCCTCAATACTTTCAATGATATTCCGTTCCCAGAAGCTCCACAATTGGGACATAACATATTTCCGGGTCAGTTTCCAATATCTTGTCACGTAAACACAGTTTTAGGTTTCCGACGTTACGTTACGTTTTTGATTTATGGTACGAAGACGTGTTGTACGCACATAAAAATACTGAAGCCGCAGTGCTCGCAATTCTGCTTCGCTTCAGCACAAATTTGAGCGGAGCGAGTGTTCAACTCAATTTTTAATGATGAGTAAAAATACATAGATTCAAAACATTTAATTTAAAGATTTGATTTTGTTGAAAGAACTTTTTAGTTTTAGGTCTCCTTCGAAGTTGTTTTTCCGCTTACTGTGTGATTTATTCGTAAATATTATTGAGTTTTTATAGCCTATAGCACGGGAAATTTTTCCATCTTTAATTTAAAAAAAGAATTTTCAAAATCGGTTAAGCCGTTCAAAAGCCTTAGTGTTTGTACAGAGTGTCATAAGAGTGGGCGAATGGGAGCTTCGCTCGCTCTGCTCAATAAATATTCCCGCTGGAATATTCGACCTTAGGAAAGTGAATCGCAAGCTTACTACAGGTGTCTCAAAAGGAAGTTCAATTTGTCTGAGAAAATTTCACGAACTCATGGCAGAGACATATTGGACGTGTGTGACGCTCTGTCCTGCTGGAACCATGTTCTTTGGTTATAGTCAGGAAAGTTTTGAAGTTCAGGCACCAAGAAGTCGTCATTTTTTAGTTGAAGTTAACATTGTCACATAACGCTAAATAAACAAATGTAAACTTTCTTTTGAGGCACCTGTTACTAGACACACTGCTCAGTCTTTAATTAAATTTTTAATGAAGTTTCGTTATAACACTGACCGAGTATTCAATGAGACTTATTTTATTTTGCGCCTGATAAAACATATTTATGCGTAATCAGATGCATTATTACAATTTTATCTTTCGCCTTGACATCTAGAACATGACATTTCCTATTAATATGCAGTGCTAGTGCAAATAAGTAAGTATTTAATCGATCATGTTGTGTGGTGTGCAGATTTTTGTTATTTTATTAATGTGTACTAAATGTTTATGTCAGGTAAGACAAGTCCAACTACAAAACAAATCACTAGTCACTCAAGTATTTATTATAGTTTATTTCTTATTGTATTGAGCGTCTATATTAGTATAGTTGTCTATATTGTATTGAGAGCTCGTTTTAAGTTCATCTTAACTTGTCTTTTTTTATGTAACTGGAGGAAAACGGGCTGGAGACTCATCTGATGTTAAGTGATACCACTGCCCATTTACACTAACAATGTCAGAAGGCCCGCAAGTGCGTTGCCGGACTTTTAAGAATTAGTACGTTCTTGAGGGACTCTAAGTCGAATTGGTTACGAAATACTTCAGTGGGCAGCTGGTTCCACATAGTGGTGGTGCGCGGCAAAAACCAAAACTGCCTTTAGAAACGCTCAGTTGTGGAACGACGGACGTTGAGGTGATATGTGGTATTTTGTACTCTACCTTGGCGTCCGATGATGAAACTCAAAATTCATTGTCACTTACTGTATGTATAAGTGAAACAACGAAAAGCATCATTTTGTTTTTCCGTGACAGTTTCTGCGCATATTTTATTCTTAACAATCAAAAGACTTTGCCTTTGTGACTTTCAACTCGATTGACTCAAATAAAACCAATTGGATGAACTGTTAAAGAGGAGAAGGTGGTTCCGACAATTTTATAAACCCTCAAATGTTCTTATAACATATATTTCTGATAAAATGGTCATAAATAAGGAGCCAAGTCGACAATTATTAATATTATATAATTTATGAAATAGGTAAATCAAAAAAACGTTACTGCCTTCCTCCTCAAGTACGAGCATTACATGAAGGCCTCCCATGACCTGGATAGAAGTGACAAGGCGCTCCTAAAGAGCTGGGCTTCTGTAGCGCAGGTGGATCGCGTCAATGTGACTTCACATTACCGCCTTGAGATGGTACGCCATAAGGAACATAGCTTTAGTCGGAACAATATTAGTCAGAAGGTAATGTTATTTTCTATAATAACGAAATTTTAATTAAAATATTATGGCAAGCCCAAGGATCGCTTGTGTCCAATCTTGTCTATCAGTTAAAACATAACAGCCAAACAAACTAAAGTTATCACCGATACGTTTTCTGTTTAGATTTTTTTATAAAGGCATATTGTACATAGTGCTTGTTCATATTTTAATAATGAAGTAACTCATATTAGCGAAGCAAAATTGCATACAGAGATTATGTCACCAGCCTAGGTCAGGTTGCGTCTGTATGCCCAGGCTGTGCACGGTCCACCCAGGGACCGCGAAAAGTATATTGTGCTCACGACATACTATAGATTTATTATCAAAGTTGTAGGCAAAATTAATGATAAGATTTTTTGGTGGTTTTCATTTAAAAAATGTCTGTAGTGGCTGGAATGTTTATCGCTACATGAGCTGGAAATAAAGAGACCCGAGCGAAATTACTACCGTTGCGAAGCGGACTGCTTGCAGGTAGCAAGCGTGGCAGATCACCAAGAGAAGAAAGCCGTTCACCAGGTTGCTAAAGAGGTACTGGATGTTTTGCGAGACTTAGACATTTACATCTTTTAGTGAAATAAATCTCCCAAATCTTGGTAAATTAAGAGGAGTGAAAGTAAAGTTCGACAAAGAAATAGATACATCGCATTTATTACATTCATATTTTTGGTTGACAAAAAAATACTATATACGATGAGCTTTTTGTGTCTTCCAAACCCAAACAATTTTTGTTTATAGAAGCAAACGGGCAGGAGGCCCACCCGATGTTAAGTTCTACCCATGGACACTCGCATTGCCAGAAGGCTCGCAAGTGCGTCCTTTTAAGAACTGATACGCTCTTTTCTTGAAGGACCCTAAGTCGAATTGGTTCGGAAATACTTCTTTGAAAGTGACTGGTCGTCGACGATTCGCATCGCTCTTCGTTCCATGCGCTAATTTTTCCTCATAAAAACTACTACGAGTATTTCACTTCTTACAGATTAAGCAATGGCGAAAAAGCTTTCGATATTTAGCAAATCAGTGCCATTTGGATAACCCAAGAAACGAGGACGCAGCGGGTGCATGCCTTGTGGAATACGTATGTAGTTAAATAACTTACCATCTTAATAGATTGTTGATAAATATTATTATTGATAAATAGATGATTGCAACAGGTATTTCTATAATCAATTTGATATATAATCAGAGCCAGGATACTAAATCAAACTAATTCAACAGGTAGGTTTAGACAGTCAAAAATAGAAACTCAAAAATATACAATTTTAATGGATGAAACAACTTTGGACATTTTTAAAATAAACAGTTGCTAAAAAAATTAAACCGAATTCAAATGTCAACTCAAAATAAAACGATAAAATCCTGAAGAATCGCGTGGACCATAACTGAAACACTACTTAAAGGAGAACATTCGTTTTCGAAATCCCGTCCCGTGATAAATTCTCTAATTAAACGTCATATTTGAAACATCAACCTGTCACGTCACTTGCGAGGCTAATCTATCTCTCTCTTTATTTACAGATTCAACGGGACAATTACGACTTATCATTACAAAGACTAATGAATCTCAAACAAAAATGTATAGGTGACATATATTTAAAGATGGCGTTTTCTTCTAATGACTTGAACGAATGCCTGAAAACCTGCCTTTCGCAATTTCTTTATGAAATCAGAAATGTAATGGATACGTTACATTTATGTTATGAAATCAAAAGTAAATATAAGGAGTAAAGGATAAGAGCTCTTTATTATTTAATTATAATTTAGGTTACGGTTGTACGTTTCCTGGGTCATTGGGGTGCTTTAAATAATAGAGGATTTTATTTTTACTCTATACACACAATAGAATATAAGCAAAATAATGAAAATATGTCAATTGCTATGGAACGAATGACTGCAAATGTCAAAAAAATATATATATCAGAACAATGGGCGTGTTTGGCCGAAGTAAGTTCTTACTAAACTTAGTAAGCCAGTAAGCATAAAAAAATTAAAGTCTTACAAGCTGACTGTAGCGCTTTTCGGCCAGGACAGACTTACTGGCTTATTAACATAACACAAAACACCGGTTTATGTCATATCCCGTACATAACCTCATAGACTGAATATAATTGACAGTACTAAATTTAGGAATATAATTTAATACCTGTGAATAGTTTCAAATGGATAATTTTATGAGAAATATTTTATTGTCCGTTTTGTTTACATCACAATAAGCAAAATGGCGTCGTATATTAAGCCATACTTACTGCGTTAGCACTTATTTTGTGTCCCGGCCGAAAATTTTGTAAGCATAGTAAGTGACTTACTAAATTTAGTAAGTACTTACTTCGGCCAAACACGCCCAATGGCGTAACTGTCAGCAGTCGTGTCACAAAGGTAGCAGCTGACAGTACAGTCAGTACGTCATCGTTCAGACATATAATGAAATATTTGCCAATTTTAAGTTTTCACGAAATAAATTACTAATTCTTATTTATTAAGGTAGGCTATATTTAAATAACTAATAAGAAAAAGAAATGCCATGAACGGCCATGATGGTTGTGTTGGTTTGTATGGCATCGATTTTTTAAAAATACTCGATGTACAGTAACGATGTATCGAATCAAACCGATGTATTGTTAAGTTTTAAACATCGAGTATACATCGATGTTTTTTTTAATGTCCATCACTATGCTATATACTTAATATTTTATTTTATATATTATTTACTCGTGTATACGAGGCCTCTCTTTTGTGCTTTTTGTCTTGTTAATTACAAAATAAAACTATAGTGAAATTGTTTAATATTTTTATTCGTACAAAAATAGGTATTTACAAAATTACTTTGATATTCAAAATAGAGTTCTACCTTAAAATATAAACGTCCTTTCCTACAACATCCGAAATCCTACAACAATTTATATTGAGCCAAGCACCCGTCCGGAAGTGACTTGTGATTGAACGCTTGACTCAAGATGAATTCCGGATGTTGGTAACGGAACAATACGAACTAATTGGCTTATATATTTTGTACATATGACACGTATATATATTTGTTTTTTTACGCATGGTCACACCTAACGCGATTGTTGGTGGCGTCTTTGGGTTTTAGCGGGAATGCAAAATCGCGAGTCTCACATAACCTTTCCCCATTAAGCATTCGCCAACGTAAAAAAAACTGTGTCCCTATATCAATATGTTCAAAAATTTCAATTGCAATGTCTTGATTCAAAATATAATATCACAATAACTCATAGAAAAAATATAGCCATATATTTTTGATATATAAAAAATATTTAAAAAAAGCTTACCATTGCTATAATCATTGAAAATGGACTAATAGACTTTAAGCCGAAATATGGTATTAACTAAATCAACTATAAAATCACCAAAAACTAAAATACATTGTAAATCATAAAAATGTACATAAATAAATGAACGTTGTCGACGTATTACCGGTAACTTTAATTAAAATAATTCATAAATAGGCAAAAATATAGATTATAAACTAAATAAATCTGATTGCACTCTTCGTCTCTTTCTCTCAAATTGTATTAACGCTGTGATGGAAAGAGATGTCAGAGTGATTTAGGTCATCGATACGAGTACGAAAAAATTATATTAGGTTTTGTCAAATTCATTTGTACTTGAGTGATAAATATATTCAATATTTTTTACTTTACTGTTTTATATTTAGCAAGAAGAGAAGAGAAGAATGCACCAAGAGTTCTTAAATATATAAATAACACGTCGTCAACATGCAATAATTAATCTATATTTACAAAATGACTCAAATTCAAAGTTATTCAGGCAACTATCTAAACAGCTCTCATCGCATCGGTAAGCGCATTATTATCTATTCATTAATATAAAAGTCGCACACAGAGTCATTTATAAACAGTTAAGGGTTACTTAAGCTACAATAGATATAATCTGTTAGCTAATTTAAAAACAAACCACTTCAAAATTACCTATGTTATACCCAGAAATGTCTGGATACCCATGTCCTAGAAGCGAAATGAACTGTTTTTTATTAATCTTAAACTGTACAACTTATGTTTAAGGATTATTATCTTCTTTCATCTCAATAAGACTTTTAGTTTCCGACTAATTACTGGACAAAGGCTTTGGAAGCCTAAATGGAATATCATACTCAAATATTATCCATTTACGGAGCGTTCAAGTATTACGTCACGTAATTTTTGGAGATTATTGACACGTTTTTCTGTACCCAATACCACCCAGTGACTCTTTATACCTAAAAGTAACCATTATGTGATGTAATGTACTAGAAAGTAGAAAATAATATTAACAATAACGCGTAATTCAATCTCCGCCCCGCATCGTAACGTTTTACAAAAGAACAAACTCCAAAATTTATTACTTAATACTTGAACGCTCCCAAATCCAAGAATCCAAATTTTTTGTTTAAGTTGGTTAAAAATTTCGATAGTCTATGGTTCCGTGTCGTCAAATTTCTTTATATAAGAATAATGAGTTAATATTCAATAATATACCATGTACGTCTTTTAAGAAGTAAAAAAGTTTAAAAAAACCAACTCAAGGCAAATATTTGTGTCACAAAGTTTTAAATCATAGAGAATAAATCGTCTTCCATAGACTAGATTTTAATCATATTTGTATTCTACAATCACGTCTAAAGGAATGTAAAAACAATTATATATAACGCTGAGAGCTACAAAATAATTATTAACGATCGCTGCCAATTTATTTAATTTACCAAAACTAATTATGATTTTCTTAAGTTAAGACTGAACGAAAATAAATATGAAAACATATTTAAAGTTATTACAAAAGTTTGAATTTTTTTTTTTTTTTTAATTTCTGACTGGCAACATTTTCACTCACTTCTCTTTCAGTCTTTTTAATTTCTTTAAAAATGGTTATATTTACAAAAAGAAACGTAAAACTATGAAAGCGGTCCCATCCCCGCCGGTCGCGGAGGAGGTTCTGGAGTATCACAAGTCGGAGGCTTGAATGTGCTTCCCTGGAAGATTTCATAAATACGTAGGACGAAAAAAAGTATTCAGAAGACGTTTCTCAATTCTAAAGTACGGCCAAACAATGAAAAATATGTGTAAACGTTGTAATGGTCTTAACTAAACTTAACATCTAAAAGCTACAAAACTCTTTCATCTCTTTCTGTTAAATTGGTATACGCTGTGAACAAAAGAGACGGCTGATATTTATAATTTTAATATTTTAGCGTCTTTCGGTGCGGAAGGCTGAAAATTTCTATAAAGTACCTTTCTAAAGTAATTTATAGCTGAAAACGATATAACAAAAGACAACCACGGGTACTGTCATGTATGTCACGTGACACTAGAGATGGTGTTGACCAATCACAAGCAGACACAATTTATCATTCGTCATTTGTTTTCAGAACCTCACCAGGTGATTATTACTTTTTAATTCTGAATCAATCCGAACTCTACTTGAGACCATAAATATAGTATGCAATTTGTTGTTGTCTAGAAGATGACCACTTCTAGAATTTCTAGGGTCAATCAGAGTCGAGACTCAACTCGAACGCTCGTACATGAAAATCCAATACATTTTTGTCATATGGAAGTCACACATAGCCTACTCCAGTTACCTGGAATCCCAGAGCAGCTTCAAGAGGAGTCGGTGAATCCCTCCCAAGCGTTGCGTAGTCCCCGAATCTCTCTCCGCGACCTTGGATTGTTGCGTATGTGTTGTCCGTTGGCTGTGAATATTATATATATATTAATAACATTATATTGTGTAATATCTAGACGAATAATAGTGGAGTGAGGGGAAATCAATAGTGCTACTTTAATCGTGGTCTCACAGACATCTATTTCCTAGATATTTTTAGACAATCAGGTAAGCCAACAACAACATCATCCAATTCATAAAGTGCAACAGGCTCAAGTGGTTGGGACATGTGCACCGAATGGCGGACGACAGAATCCCAAGGTCCTCACTGAACTCACGACCTGGTGGCAAGAGAAAACCCGGTAGACCGAGGTTGCGTTGATGGGATGGAGTTGAACCTCGAAACAATAGGGGTACGAAGTATAGTAAAGGAGGCTAAGGCCCACAAGAGGCTGTGTAGTATCCTATACTTATGATGATGATGATGAGTTAAGCCCTATGCGCCTGATACATGCTGTTGATTTTCACCACAACATTTTATATCAATTGTAAAGACAAATTTATTGCTAAGAAAATCGCGGTAAGGAAATAGAGTAACACTGTTTAATTAATTCTATACTAATATGTGTGTGTGTGTGTGTGTGGGTGTGTGTGTGTACTGATTAATTGCAACTTATTCCAATTTTGAGTCATTTTATATATTTTGAAACACCATGTATATATTACCTGTGGCTGTTCACTAGAAGTGTCCTGCTGGTCTCCGAACACGTTCATAGTGAGCTCCTGCTCCTCGTAAGGCCTCAACTTGGTCTCCAACCACAAAGGGTTCTCGGTGGTACTGAGCTCTTCGAGAATTCGTCGACGAGCCAAACTGTCTCCTTTACTGGACTGCAGGGATGGCGGAGGGATCACCCTGGAAATGTTTATTATGTTGTTTAAATTATAAGGTTGATTAACATTTTAAAATTTCACAGTTTGTGAGTGGTAAAAGAAAAAAAAAATTTTGATTTCAGAGTACTCTTTCCTAAACTTTGTCTTTCTCACATTTATTAAATATCGGGTCGATGTTTGCAAGATTTGTGACCATTATAACAAGAATAATAAACATT